ACACACACACACACACACACACACACACACACACACACACACACACATACACAGTCTGTTCTTAGAAATGACATCAAGTCGATATTCACATTTCATTGTAAGACATTGTATCAACTTTTCTGCAATTCCGATTAATGTTTTTGTTATACACTTATTTCGTATTTTCAACAATTATCACCGCGGAAATTCTAATAGTTCAACTGTTCTAACAGTTCAAATGTTAAGAGAATTCATAGAAGTGTCAATAATTTTATACGCGCTCATTGTTAAGTGAAAGAAATTGTAATATGCTCATCGATTTATACTCATAATTAAGAATGTCTCTTGGGTTTTCCAACATGTAAGTTCAATGTACAAATCTGTCGCAAGCAAAAACTCAACTCACAATGTTTTTCACATTAGTCATTTCTTTTTTAGAAAGATTAATAAGAAAACGCCATTTTTTTATTATTTTCAATAAAATTAATTTTTTTCCACAAAATCTCTATAGTTTCTAAGTTAAACCATTAATGTATTCTGGCTCAATGAACTTTGCGAACGAAAAGAAAATTGTCCACTTATTTCTTACAAACAAAAAATAATTATATAAATATATATCTATAAGAAATACATATCATAGAATAATAATAATCCTATATACATATACATACATATATACCATGTGTGGAATTGGAAATATAAAATTTATTTCCGTACGCACGTATTATGTTCGTAAAAGTCATCACTTTTGTGCATTCCCTCTTAATCTAAGTAATGGTTAAACCGCAATGGTTATTTTCCAACACTATTACCTCAGCAAGAGTTATAAAGAGTCCATAAAATCTCATCGTCTATAAAATTCAAATTACATTGACGTGCACGGAAATTAAACGAGATGCTTTATCTTCTACCGTGAATAACATAACATTTCTTAATGCGAAGAATATTTATTGGCTCGTCGTAATAAGACATGTCACGGCGAACTAGCAGTGCGTAATGGAATATCTGATCGTCATATAATTGCATAAGATAAGTTAATTTATTTTCAAATGAGCTTGTGCAATTACAGCAATACTACTTTGCAATTTATATTGCCATAATTAATTACATTGAGTAGAATTTCTCTGAAATAGGTAAATATCTTTTAATACATAAAAAACAATGATTAATAATAAATTACAACATGTTGCATCATTAGAATTTCTGGCTATTAGATATTCTAAACATTGTAAAACTGTTTGTAACATAATTTCGTACATTATTTGATAATAATAATTATAGCATATTATTTGATAATAATTTAGTTTATTCGTAATCAATAATGTTATATAAAACTATTGCTTGTAAAATCTCTCATCATGTTTCACTTTTGAGCATATAACAATTAATCAAAATCTTTTAACATAAAACTTAATAGGATATTTTAAAACTGGTCTAGCATTGTTTCAAAACTGCACAGATTTCTATAAATTTTTTTAATAGAAAAATTATTAGTATATTTTGTTATTCATTTTTCATTAATGAAACATCATATCTCTAAAAGCACAAACAAATCCAGACCGTTTATGAATGTATAAGCTGATCATTCTAATAAATTTTTTTTCTAATTAAATATGTATCACGACAATCTCAGGTTCTTGTTCAAGCGAGCAAGTATTTTTCCAATGATGAAATCATCATTAGAAGGTAAATAACATCTGTTTAATTCGAAGAAATATGTTTCATGTGTAACGGAAATTTTCCTTGATCCGTTGCTCCTTTTTTTATTAGATCTAGACAAATATACATGTATGTTAACAAGGTATTTTAAGTTTGGATACCATTGTTTTCCTTCTCGTGAGAAGGAAAAAACGCAAATTCAAAAAGAGTAGTTATGATGTAAGGAAGTATAAACCTAGACAGACAGATGTAAATATAGACACAATCATTTCTTAGCTTATTTCAAGAAACGGTGGCAACAAAGTAATTAAAACTCATTTCCTGCTAACAAAAAAATTTGCATGATTACATACTCATCAGAATTACAAAAGTCACATTAAATTTGCGTCATCAGATAATCTGTAATTTTAATCTCCATTCACTGTCATGAATTATTACTATTATTAGATATAATGCTATCTAATGCGTCTAATAAATTTCTATGACAATACGCATAACTATAATTGCGTTAGATGGTATAAATTATGTAAATTAACGCTTCTAAGAATATTTTTATAAATCATTATTATAATCGTTATCATGTGTTTGCAGAATACAAATGACTAACTTTAATCCGCTAACACAATAAATAACGATATTATTATTTACATAATGATTTTTGCTAAAAGTTGTATAGACTATGATGTGCAATACAATAATAAAGCTATCATTATGATAACTTTATCTCTTTTTAATTGCATTATTTTTATCCTGCAAATATGTATCATCTTACAGCTGTATATTATGTATGATGCTTAGTTAAATGCAATTAAGATCCATTAGAATGAAATGCATATTGAATTCGCATAATGAGTACCTGTCGTGTTCATGTTTAGGTCTGAAAAGCTTCAAAATTCTGCCTATTGACCCGCTAGTGGTTGACAGCCTGAAAATCGGCGAGTCCCAGGGCTCGGTGTCACTCAAACAGGAATATCGGAATGTCAAGATATATGGACTGACGAAGGATCTACAAGTTTACAATTATACGTATGTAATTTTCTGCAACTATCAAATCATTCTCAGTGCAGAATCAATTGGTATACATAACAGAAAATGCACTTAATTAAATATTATACTATATATGTAAAAGAAAAGAAAACTTGATATTTCCAGTGAGTAAGTTTAAGTAGAAAACCTGATTCATATTCTGCAAAAAAAAACACAGAATCGCAAATAAAAAATAATAAGTTTAAATTAATTTATTTAAAATTTTTCAGTTATATAACTACAATTACATAGATTTAATTAGAGTTTCAAAATATCCGTCTTTAGTTTTTTTTATATTTAAAGACACACAAATCTTCCGATATTGATTATATAGGTATACTTTACAGATTATTAGCTATCATCAGATTAATATAAATGGTACTATTAATTACATAATTGTGATTAATATATTGATCTTCGATTTCTTTAGAATAGACTGGGACAATTTAATATTTAGATCGGAATCTTTCAATCCTCAAGTGGACTTTGTTGCCGATTACAAACTTGACGGCAAAATTCTGCTCCTACCAATCCGAGGCGAAGGCAAATGCAATATATCTATACGTAAGTATTATTATAATGTATTCTCATAATTGCATGTGATATTGTATCATCGTTTACGATTTAAATCTACTTTAGATGATCTATAATTTGCGTTAAATTTAAGGATTAAATTTTATTTATAATTTGATATACTATGTATTTTTATATATTTTTATATGTATAATGCATTTTAATATATATTTTGTATGTATGTCCCGACTCTCTTCAAATTTTTGTATTGTATGGCACATATAATATAAATAGAACTTTTTGTTAAATTCTGACGCAAGTTATAGATCGTCTAATAATAACTTTAGGTGTGTTCCACTTAACGCTCGCAACGCTCGTGGAATTATTTCATCCTTGCTGTTTATCAAATGTTAAACAAGGACGAAATGATACTCGCGAGCGTTGTAAGCATTAAGTGGAACGCACCTTTGAAATTTTTTATTAGCAAAGTCAATTTATCTTTATTTTACTCTTTTTCAGATGATTTGATAACAAAACACGAAATACATTACGAAAAGTTTCAAAAAGATGGAGAGACTTATATGAGATCGACGAAATACATGGTTAACTTCATACCCAAACACGTATCTCTACATTTCGATAATCTCTTCAATGGAGATAACATTTTAGGTATATTTATTTAATTAAATCTTATTTGCTCAATATCTTAGCAAAATAATCGATATATTATTTTGTTACAGATAAAAACAAAATGTCAGATTTATAGCATACATTATACAGATTTTGCATAAACATATTAATATTTTTAATATACATTTAATTAATTTATGTTTTAATGTCTTTAATTAATTTAAAGAGATGATAAATTATAAATATTTATTTTATATTATGTTCTTGTATTAACTTTTCTATACTTCACTGATTACAGGTGAACAAATGCATAGGTTCCTCAACGAGAATTCCGATTTAATTTTCAAGGAACTTGAAGCACCTTATGAAGAAACTTTCGGATTGGTCTTCACTAAACTCACCAATGATATTTTCAGCCGCGTGCCAATGAATAAGATTTTTAAATAGAAAAAGTATTACTTTTTACTGTGACCTATTACTTTTCTATAGTAAATATAATTTTGTAGTATAATTTTGTCAGAAAATCGGGTAAAAGTATACTAACGTGCCAAGAATTGTATATATATGCGATATTTGACATGATGTTTAAAATAAACAATTAGTGATAATAGTAATAGTATGTATTGAAGAAAATGTAAAAAATGTATGTTGCATAACATAATCCTCATGGAAATTTCTTTTGATAAAACATTCCTAATTTATATATTCTTTTGCTATGTATGTATATAACTGAAAAACTGTAAGCTCCTCATTTTTACTTTTATCATCTCGAGAATTAATTATTAAAATTATTTTTAAAGGAATTTTAAAACTCTTTGTGAAAAAGAGCCAAACATTTTTTAATTATATCGAAATTCTGAAAATAATCGTAACTTCACGAAGATAATATCGGCTTTTAAACCAAATGCATTTAGCGGTAATTAACAAACAGTCTGTTACAGAATGATATAATCAATAAGAATCAACAAAATGTGAAACAACTACAGATAAAAAATGAATAATATACGTGAATTTAATGTACTCTGTACTTTGAACATTAACAATTACAGCCGATGACTAAGGTGGAATAGTATTCATGGAAAAGATATGATATGCAGATGAGTATTTTACAAACATCTTATAATATTTCAATTGCGTGTTCTAAACAATGTCCCTACTAGACTTCAAACAGAATTAATCTTATAATCGTTAGCTTAATTTTATACAATCATTTTATACGATCTATAATTCGCGTCAGAATTCAAAATGGAATCCCATTTATAAAATTTTACGTGCCATGTGTCATAAAAAACATTTGAAGGATCTAAATACATGCATATATACATAAAACGTATATTAAAATACACACATACATCAAAATATATCGCACGTAGAATTACAAATAAAATTCTATTTTAAAATCTAACATGAATATAGATCCAAACTTCAACGCTGAAAGATCCATAAAAACGTGCGATGAGAAAGTAAAGATTGCTTTGAAATGTAACGATTAGGATATTTCACGTAAAAATATCTTATAAAGCGAAATAAACATTCGTCGAAGCGCGATTTGCGGTAACGGTCAGCGAGCGGTTTGTTTTGAACGTAACGGGGCGCGGCGGCCGCGCGCGCCGCTGCTTCGCGCAGGGCACGAGCCGCGCAAGGTCGCCGCGCCCGCGCTATCATTCATACGACGCGACTCGAGCGAGACGGTAGCGACGCGTGCCGCTCCGCATATCGTAGTTTCTTGAGACACGATTACACGGTAATATTACAATATTAGCGATTACCGGCTAAACCGGCTTACGCGACTGATTAACCGCGATTGACGATACTGTCGATTCGCGAACGGATCGATGACAGTCATGCGTTTGTCGAAACAACTTTCTCGCAATTCTCCATTGGGAAAAATCGAGTCAATAGAGGATTGGCAATTGATGTAAATTACTGTTTAATCGCGATAATCACGGCCATCACGGGCGATAATCGTCTCCTCAGTGATGCTCGAGTCGAACATAAAATGTATATACTTAAAATTTCTCGCCAATCCGAATTAAACAAAAATTCTTTTTTTGATTGAAAGCGCGGAATAATACACGGGGGTCGTTGAATCTAATAATGCAAGTAACGGGAGGCATGATAAGAAGTCGGTCATTTATTAACTCGACATATGCGTATATACTTTAAGTGTCATTTAATCTAAACGTTTGAAATGTGTTACGCGAAAATCATATTGGAATTTCGATCGTGTATTTTCGGACACAATCAACCTGTTTATTAATCATGAATTTGGTTCGCGTTGTACATGATGAAGTTGCCGGCTTTCAATTCATCGTCGTCGTCAATCGTCATCTCGCAACGTAAGTACGGGAACATGTCTCCGAGGCGACCGGCGCGTCGCGAGACATCTAATTAGTAAGTTCAGTCATTACCAACTCGGTATCTAATCGCGTTTATTGCGTTTTGGAATCCGATTATCGCGCCGCGTAAATTCGTACATCGATGACTCGTTAAAGCATGTATTTCGCGAGATTTATTCTTTATTTTATCGACACATCCATCGCAAGTAACCAACAAAACGACAATCGTATATTCGAACATTGCGTTCCGCGGATATCTATTGTTTTAACTATATTTGAATTACAATACGGGTAAACAATCGCCGTGAAACGCGAGAGTACATACATAATTTGCTTGTTCAAGATACAGAAAATGCGCGGCATTCAGCTAGGAGCATTTATTAGTTCAGCGCCGGCGGTACACCGGGTACACGCTCCTGGCGCGTGAAGTTGACCGCGAAATCTCCGAATTCGCTGCGCCGTTCGACGCCATCATTCGACGTCGCGTCACCGTGCTAAATTCGCGAGACGTCGTGAATGTCGAGCAAATTGCTTGATGCTTCCCGATGCGATCGTATCGCGTAATCTTTCTTGTTAATCTTTCAGGTCGCATAAAGTCGCACGTTTAATTAATATCGGGAGTGCCGTACGAAGTGCCGAGCGATTGTCGTATTTCGAAGATGCGAGCGGCCGATCGTGGTTAACCGTGTTTCCGCGAGTGTGTGTGAGCATGCCACAGAGGACCAAAAGCAGAGGAGGAGGAGGCCTGGGGAGGCATCGGGCGACGGTGGAGCAGCCCTCAGTGAGTAATATGTTATTTATTATTTATTTGTTACTTGCGATATTAATGAGTGTTCTCCCCGCGGCGGTTGCGTCAGGCATTTAATATACATTTAACGCATTTTGCAAAATCGTGTAATAAACAATGCATATACATAAAATATATTATTCCGAGATGAAATAATAATTTAGTAAAATATTTAATACTTAATGTTTAATATGTTTATATAGTATGTTCAATATGTTTATGAGATGAAAATAAAATACTTTATCTTGATTAAGAGTAATGATTTTATTTAAATGACTTATATAAATTAGAGACAAAAATTAGAGATTTTTTTATCAAACTCCATAAAAATTTATGCTTAACAAAATTTTGTTTTTTAAATTATATAATTCTTTTATTAATTGCAGCTTATAAAAGAATGTAGAAAAAATTAAGTGCATATAACAATTGTTTTAGAGATATTATTTTTTGTAAATATTTAATTTGGATATTTAATTTAATATATATTTATATTTTGTTTCAGTGCGGACTATAACGCCACCGCTGCGCATCGCACCGGTGAGTTTTTAATTATTTTTTATTTTATTGAGAAAGATATATAATGGACTTATGTGAAAATTATATTAGATATAACTAGCAACTTTGTACATTATACAATATGTTTTGTTCTCTCTCTTTTCTTACGCGGTAAAAAGTAATGCATTATTGTAAGTAATTGCAAGTATACATGCTTTACCGACGAGTAAAGTTACATGCTGCTAGTGAGAGCAACTCGCAATAGGTAGAGCCACTTGCCCGTTAGAACCGTTTATTGTTTAAATTTAGAAATTGTTTAATAGTTATTTAAAATTTTTAATTGTTAGTTGGAATTGCACATATGAAAAAGATATGAATTACTCACATCAAAGATATATAAATATGTCTCAAATATATATTTTTCTCATAAATATTATATTACTTAAAAGATATTAATAGTTACTAATTAATATATGTCAATATATATAATATCAGAAATACTTGCACTTAAAATATCAGCACTTCAGAAAAATTGCAATAATAAAATAGCGTAAAATAACGCCAGGAATTGAGTAAAAATAAAAGACGATAAGAAACATATTTGCAGATTATCACAACCGCTGCAAATTTATAGAAGTGCATCGCTAGCGTGCAGCAAATCGCGTCATAAATAAAAGACTGTAATGAATAAAATATGCAAAAGTAGCTAACAAGTATACCTTTATGCTACTGTTATGGTTGTTTTTCTCATAATTAAATTCCGACTCCGATGCGATTTGCCAGCAATGTATTTATTTCCATAAGTCTGCTGCAATCTTATAGTAATCTGCAAATATATTTGCTACCGTTTTTAAACTGGAGATTATTCGAGAATTTCGAGATTAAAGCAAAGTATTTATTTTTAATTTATATACACATATAGATACGTTTTTTTTTAATTACATTTTTTCTAGTAAACTTATAAAAAAATAATTTTCTATCAATGATGAAGTAGATATTGAGATATTTTATTGATATCAAAATTTATTTTATGCAGATATGTTTAAAAAGTGCAACTTTTTTTGTTATTAAAACGTACACATTAAAACGCCCTGCGACATCAATGGAGAGACTATCGACTCCTGCACAAATTTTATAGATTAATTAACGAGCGAACTACTAACAAAATACATTAAATAATTAATTTTTTATTAAGTAAATTGATTTGCATATTTAAGTAACTCAGGCACAGAGAGAAATTAATAAGATACCATACATTTTGAAAATCATATTACTTTATATATTTTACGCGATATATTATTTAATATAAAAAATCAGCTTCATGATTCATAAAACGTAATCAGAAATTAAAGATTATTTTGTCCGCATTAGAAGTTTTCAACAGGAAATTATATGTGAGGAGCACTACGAATAAATATCTTAATTTTGCCATTACTTTAATATATCTGATCAATGCGGTGATTTCTTGTTCCCCATCCCGGTCTGGATGCTACGCTTGCACCAGGTGAGCTCGTTCGTGCTTTTGCAGCTGCAAATTGAGCAATTCACATGCCGAATCGGTAATGAGCCCATCCGACGTCTGATTTTTCCATTCGGTTGATTTTACCGGCGACAACGGGTCTTTCTTTGGTAACGCCCGCTTTTT